GGCTCAGAATTAATTTAATACAGTGTGAAAAGAGATCATAATCGATCAATTGTACAGATTGATTAAATTTTATAAAATTATTTAAATTCATATTTTTCTGATGAATACCATCAATTATTTATTGATATTCTATATTTAATTTTATTTATTCTTCAATTATTCATTTAAATACAAATTAATCGATCAATTGTTCACTTAATATTATTCAGAAGAGAAAAAAAGAAGAAATACAAAAAGAAATGCATCAATATTGTTGATATTAGCACGGTGAATAAATCGCATTCCACCTTATTGCCCACATGTCGTGTAGCTAACGATCCATGAATGGTCATTAACGTTAGCATTAAGTGGTTACGAAGGCAGGTGCTACTCTAACAGGTGGACCACCGGGGAAACTTTTCAACGGAACATAATACTATTGCTTTTTCAGTTTATTTCACTTGTTATCTATTTGCATAGGAGGATTTATTTTCTTTAATTAAAATTTTTTTATTTTTCTAAAAGGAAATATTTTCATTGAACCTTTGTAAAAAAGAATTATATAATGATAGAATTATATAATCATATTGTTCATTATCTTAGAAAGATCTCCGGTACTATTTTTAGATGAGTAATGGTTATCTAATCTTCTTCGTTAGGATTTTTGTAATTAAAACTATCTCATTTCTCTAATTATAAATCTATCTTCTTTAGAGATAGATTTTCTTTTCTTTTATATTTTTTATTAATTTATTTAATCTTTATTTAGTTAGTATATTTTTTAAGATCAGTTGAAAGATTAATTAAATAAAAACAAAAAAAACATTAAAAAAATTGATGTCTCACTATTCCTGAATAAAACATATAATCATTAATTAAAAATTTTGCATGTGATTTAATGAGATTAATTAATGATGTTCTTTTCACATATTATGCAAATCTGAATGCAACGGAAAAAATGCGTTCAGATGAGTCATTTGCTTGGCCATGCATATGAATATGACTACCAGACGGCTGCAAAACAGCCGTTCAAATTTAGACTCATGTATTTTTTTCTCATAATTTATACACGCCCACATTTTGATATTTTCTTTATTAAATATTTCAATAAAAATATGTATTCATTTAAATGTTGTTATTATTTAATATTTGATATATATTCAATATTCAAAATTTAGTATTTTGAATTTCGATATTTCAGTATAATCAGTATTTAATTTACTTATTTAATATTTGGTTGTGCATGTTGTTTAAAATTTTCAGTATCGGATATTGAAAATCGATATTTAATAATTAAGATTTATTATTTGATATTTAATATTTATAATATATACATAAATAGGTATTTAATATTTAGTATGAACATTTGATAATGTAGTCGATATTTGGTATTTGATATTGAATTCTTACTATTCAGTATTTATTATTTGATATTTATTTTGTATTTAATATTTGATATTTAAATTCAAAATTAATCTCTTGACATTATGATAGAAACTTATAAATATTCTCTTTATGTGATAGCTGATATGCAGCTAATATTCAGTCATCATTTCATAATAATTACTCAATCACCGGTATTTAGTATTTTTCTAACCTAAAAATCAAGGAAAAAAGAGAAAAAATATCGAATGGAGATATGGTTAACTTCAGTTCACCGTGATATAACAATGAAAGAACAGCTTAGCTCCATTTCTATAAGCGAATATAACAAAAGAGAGTCCGTGAATAACGACGGTCACGTTGGACTCTATTTAGCTTGGCGAACTCGTAGAGAAGAAGGTGCGCCGACACCATGGCATGGGATCGACGGCGTTATGAATCCTCGCCGGGATTTGGTTCTCAGGAACCTGAGACCACAGAGTTTAGTCGTATATAATGCACAGAGAAGAACGCGACAAGCATCGCGAGAAGGAATGTGAGGAACAAGCTGCTTTGCTAAGGTATTACGCCCCTCCTTCATTCCGGAGCACATACGTATATACGGTCACAACTGTCTATACACATTGTCTCTTTTTCCTTTTCACCCAAGAATTCATCTCGTTCCTGTATATCGTATCCAATTTTCTTTCTATTTGTCTTAATTCGAGTTTTTTCCATTGATCAGCTATATATTATACTATCGAAAGAACGATAGTTCGATCATCAATATTTAATTCAATATTTAATATTTGAGTGTAAAAATATTTTTTAATATAATTATATGAACTTTGAGAAAAATATATAATAGATAAAAGAAAAAAAAAAAGAAAACCTTTGAAAGCGCTTATCGTTCTTCAATATCCTTTAAAATTGTTGAAATTTCTCTCCCCTTTGATCTTGATTAGGGCTCGGTTTTTACCTTTCACGTGAGTACCTACGTTGCCTCGTTGCCACGTAGTTTACCTTCGTAAACCGGAAACATGCTATTAGCCAGGATTCTTGTTTTACCATGATCACGTGTTCTTTTATAATTGATGCTTTTTGTGTTCATCAACCTTTCTTTTTTTCCTTCGCGACTTGCATGCGTTTGAATGAGAAAGTATGCGAAAGAATAGCAGGATAATACGACGGATCCGAAACAGGTTGTTTAATTGCATCAACCAATGCTCGTCGATGTGTAACTTGCTCGTTTCAGTCCTCGAGTTTCTATTTTCATAAACCGTTGCCTCCTTATTCGGATATTCATCAACTTTTATGACTTGTGCATGTATTTTAGAAACTTTCATTTTACCGGTCTAAAATTAACAATTATAATGTAAACGGAACTTTATGAACTGTTTTTATATATGACTTACACTCGTTTCGAAAAATCTTAACAAAAAATTTAAGAAATTACAAAATGAATTTTATTAAAAAATTTTATTAATTATATTAAAGAAAAATGTATTGAATATTATGTTTGTAAAAATTAAAAATTACATTATACAATACATACAAAAATTATCTTTTTTATCTTTATATTTTTTTCGATCATTTTGTTTTAATAATAAAATCATTTTTCTTATAGAAATACTATTTGTTGCATGTAGTATGAATGATATATATAATATAAAAATTTTGTGATTATATATAAATGTAATATTGTAATAATAATAATATTTTTTTTTAAATTTGCAATGGTGGTTAATGGTGATAAAATTTTTTTTTGGAACTCTTCAATTAAATTAATAATAAATGTTCAATATATTTTATTATTATATATTACGAGTAACATAATATTTGTTTCAAAACTTATTTTCCAATATTTTTGAAGATTGTAATTATAATAATCATTTAACGAAAAAAAATATGTTACGCGAAAATACAACAAGCAAGTTTTTTTTTTATCTATTGAATAACTAGACGATCGATTGCAACGAGGTATAACATGTGGCTTCACGCTTTCTGAAGTTGATCTACGAGGTGAAAATTGTAAAGAAGAACGAGGTCTTTCGTTTCCTTTCAGAAAGCATTAATACATTAAATTATTACATATACGGGTATATGATATTTTTATGAAACAATCGTGCAAATGTCATATATATTTTTTTATAAAATCAAAAAGTGAAAAAATATCTCATATTTTATAAAATTTTTTAACTTATAACTATTAAATCCACTTAAAATTATGAAAAAAATTTCAAAAAAAAAATCAAATCATTATTAAATTGTAAATATAAAAATGTTACCAGAAGTCCATGTTGAAAGTTGATATTCTTTAAAGTGCAACCATGAATTAAATTTTTTTCTATCATGAAAGATCTCGAAAAAGTTTCGCCGGAAATTCATCCTCCCAAATGATCTCACTCTTACTCCTTTTTTCTCATAAAGTCTGTACGAACAGAATCGTTCGATGACCGTTAAAAGATTTTAATCGTGCAATAACGTCTGGTATGATGTACCAAGAAAATCGCCAATGATCCACATCCGGTGGTCCATCGTTGCGTTTGCTTTCTTCCCTTCTTTTTCGAGGTCAATGTGCTTGCAAAAAGTGACCTTGTACGATCCTGATGGGATGCTCTCCTTCGAGTCAGGATCGAGGCCTACTTTGTACACCATCTGGCTCGACTGGCAAGATAGTTATGGTTGCCTCATCATCCTTAATACGAAATAACCGCTGGCTGATACAGTGTCTAATTCTAGTTGTTGCTTTTGCTTTTTATAATGAAGTCTTGAATTTTTTTTAATGCATTCATCTTGAGAATCGTTCTTCTTTTTTTATTTTTGCTTATAGAACTATAAATATTAGTTTATAGTGTCTGTGATTTATGATATTAATAAAAATTTTAAAAAATTTAGAATCACTAAATATATTCTATGACAAATTAAACTAATAATATATTTTTGTGGAATTAAACAAATTTTAACTATTTTTTATAGTTCTCAAAAAATATTTTGCAAATTTTTAATTTATATATTATTCTACATTGTAAAATAATGTAAAAAAATCCATTTTATATTTCTACACTTTTTTTTGGAAAAGTTATTGAAGTTTAAAATTTTTATACTTTTTACATAAAATTAATTATTTTGAAAAGCTAATTAAAGAACTAGTCAAAAATGATTTTATATTAAAGAGGTAATGACATAACGGAATAATAATCTCTGTTATAAAACTCAAAGTTCATTTGAACGATTCTAAAATATAATTGATTATCTATTATCGACACATTTAATTCATAGTTCTTTTTAACAAGTAGAATCATTAACAAGACGGACATGTTCGAAAGTGGGGGTAAAGGGAATTAGCCAATACCAATTTTCTCTCGACAAACGCGAGCAGAATTGTTATTCTACGTCCAGTCAAGTCTTTTTCTAAATATAATCGGCCGGTTTCCGGTCGTGCAGCAGCACCAGACGAGAAGTCGAAAACTATAAATACTTGTCCAGTGGTACATGCACAACTGCAGGAAATCGTGTCTTCTTACATACATTCAACAATCCCTCTTTGTTGATGAATGAACGATTGTTCTAACATTTTTCTGTGAATCTTATTAACTTGTAAGTATTTACTAGATAGTTCAATAAACTAACGGGTGAATTTTTTAAAAATAATTTGTGTCATCAATATTTTTTTTCTTCTATTAAATATGGACATCTTTTGAAAACTAAAAAAAAAAAGAATAATTAAAAATATTAAGAAAATTAAAAATAATAAAAAATTGAAAAATATAATAGAAAATAATAAAAAATAAATAGATGAATAAAAAATATTTAAAATTTTTAAAAATTAATAATAGATGATTTTGAAAATTGAAAAAAAAGAATAATAAATGTGAGACAAAATCTAGGAAACGAATATTATATATATAAAAAATATAAACTTTTTAAATTAAATTCTTTTCGATTTCAATATTTCTAATTAATTCTTTTACAAGTTCAAAATTTTACTTACTTTTCAAAATTTATTTAAAAATTAAAATAATTAAATAGTTCCATATAAACATGCATAATATGTAATAACCAGATGCCGTCTAGACTGGTTATTAGAAACCCTGCGGGCAGGATGTTCGTTCTTATACTTAAGGAAGAAGAAATCCATCAAATATAGAATACTTTCGCCTTCCTTTTTCCGTTCTTGGTATACAACTTACAGTCATGGTCTTGTTAACGAACTGCCAAGAATGCATTGGAAAGAGATCCAGATAACATCGTTTTACATTATCGAATGCACTGCTTGGAAATATCGATTCTCGGCTATCTTTCAATTACAGCGTTAATTAACGCTAAATAGCATCAAACATATAGTGTTATAATTCATAGAATTAATTGCTCAAAGTTACAAAGATCTGTAATGTATACCATCATTATTTTATTTAATTGTAAATTTTATTAATTTTTTTTTCTATCAGATTTGATATTAAAACATTTTTAAGATTTAAAACATTTAGAGACGTTTTTTACATTTATTAAAGATCAAGAATAGTTTCTTTATTTATTTTAATTTATATAAAAATTTTTCGCAATTTAAAGAAATGCTTTCTCTTATTTTATATAGAACAAAAGATAGAATTACACAAAGAATGATTCTTATCTAAATCTTTGTTTCCGTTCGGATCAAAAGAAACGCTCAACGAAAGAAAAAAAGAAAAATTATTGAGAAATATCTAAATATAAACTTGGCAAACTGATGAAGAGTTCGTTGAACATTCAAAAAACTTCAAACATGCCAATGTACATGTATATGCCAATGTACATGTCAAAATATCATTTTATTCATCTTAATCACAACGAAACTCATCATTTTTATTGAAATAATATATCAATAATATAATACATTTAAATATCTTGCAATATGAATTTTTTATCGATTCCTATATTTGATATTATTTAGAAATACGTATCTTAAAAAATATTAGCGATAACGTTAGAAACAATTTAAGTAAGCATTTGTTTTGCACAGGTTAGGATACCTTTTTTAATCTTAATTTCATTTTAATTTTTATTTTACTTATTTCAAAGTTATAAGAACTTGTTTCTAAGTTTTTATTCAAATTTTTTCTTTTTCACTAATATTAATATCATTAATTATAAATATATTTTAATAAAATAAAAGAATAAGAATGAAAATCGAAATGAAAACGAATTCACAGATAATTTTGAAATTGCACAGAGAAGTTGCTTGACAGGGCAGTTAACCTAAATTTATTTCGATATAATAACACACTTCAAACTTTTCTCCATCCAAGCTTCCCGGACCACCCAGCATGAAATTTTACGACATCACGTTATTACACGTTAATTTTCACTCGATGAAGATTACATGATATGCGCGTACATTTGGCATAGTTGTAACTACAATGTGAACATGAAGTGCAATCGTATTTTATACGATAATACGATAATATCGTATAAGATATCGATTATACTAATTTTCGATTGATCGAACTTTCGATTATTTGTACATTTATTCGATTTGGATTTTATTCGATATGATACTTCTTTTATTAATGTTTTTGTTTATATAAATTTTTTTAAGTTAAATATGTATTTATAAGTAAAAATTTCGAATTTTGATACATTAATATTATTTATTAAATTTTATTCTATTGTCAAATTGAAATATTTGAGAAAGATTTTATCATTTTCTTCTTATTTTCTTTTTTTTTTTTAATAATAATTTCAAAAGAATGTTATTAATTATCAAAAACTCATTATTTTATATTATTTTTTAAGATATATATATAACATTTTTGGAAAGAAGAGATTAGAATTGTAATAATTGTAATATAGAATTGTAATATTTAAAATATCGATATCTCGATTTAAAATCTCGTTTTAAGTGTTTAAAAACATTTTTAAAATTTATTAAAATTTTACATATTTTTTCTTGAATCATTCAAGCGTAAAAACGGGTAAATTCACGCGAAAAACGAAAAACGAAAAAATGATGCAACGAAAAGCCGGATATTTAAAGTCCATCTGTCTCGTCGTTAAAATGTCGTGACACGTGGTCGCACCTGGTTGTCGTCGAAAGAGGCAGTCAAAATGCCATGTGACTCAACACTGACAGGAGGCAGAAAAAGCTTGAGATCGCAGTAGATAGAAGCCTGTGAGAATAAAGAGGAAAGAAGCATCAAAAATGCAGAACATTGTTAAAGAATATCCGGCTATATTCGACATATGTCCGAAACATTGGCTCTAGTTCGAACACGATGGAATCATCAAAATATTTGAAGGTATATAACTTCTTTAGGAGATATAGCAACTAAATAATTCATTCTAAAATTATAATTATATTTTTTTGGAATTTAGTAACATTTGAATAATAGATATTTAAAATATATTTTTTTTTGTTTTAAAAATCGATATATTTTTTTTATTATTGTTAGAATATATTAAAATATTAGTAAAATATCTTTTGATGACATAATACATAACCAATAATATCCAATAATTGATATATACATGATTTTGATGAAATTTATATATATTATTTTTTTCTTTATTTTTATAATTTACATTTTTTTTTAGAAATATCTCAATTTTTTAAGTTCAAAATAATTTTATTAAAAATCGATTCTCGTTTCACTATAATTCGGAAACCAATTTTTAATTCGTGATAATTTTCGCGAAGATAACCTCAAAATCTACATATTTTTTATATCGAACATGGTAAAAAACTGAAACCATCAGGAATCAACGTGTTCCGAGGTAACGGAACGGATATCTTTCGATCTATCGCGTTCTTTTTTTGGAATGACTGTCGTGTCCCTTGGTGAATAATCGTCCAGGTACAAAGGAATATAGCTTCGATACAATAGAATTCTAACGCCCACGGAAATGATGGCGGAATCTATATTCCATAATTGGAATCTTTTGTGACACATTCCAGAATGTGTTCAGAAAAACGAATAGAATGAAAGACGAATTTAAATTTTTTCTAATATCTAAATTCCGTTACTATACTCAATCCGTTTTTTGATTTTACAAAAATTATGCAAATATTATTTTTTGATCTCTGAATAATATTTATTATTTTATAACTTAAATAAAAGGGATTTATGACAAAATTTTTCAGAAAAATTTGTTTTTTATTATCATAAATATTATATGAATATTGTTCTTTCTATTATTTAATTGAATTTATATCAATATTTAAATAAAAAACAAAATTATTCAAAATTAATAAATATTTAAATAAAATTTATTCTATATAAAATAGAATATATGAATGATATGTAACACACAGATATTATATTAAGAAATCAAACTGATTAATGTTATCACAAATTATTTGAAATTAAATAATCAATTTAATCATATATTTTGGCATCAATAAAATTAAATTTTAAAATAAAACATGAAGTAATTATTTTGACTTCTTTAAAAGATTATTGGATTATATTACATTTCATATGTATATATATATTCTATATTATAATCTTTGTAAAAGAAAAATAAAATAAAATATAAATATTCTTTTCATTTAAGTGTTAACATTAATTTTGATATATCTACATATAAAATGATAATGGAAAAAGATTGAAATTGATGTGATTGAATAAAAAAATAGAAGAAATGCAATTAATTATGATTCGATTCGCATTAAATGAGATGGATCGCTTTGGAATGTTAATAGATATCTACACATCACTTCCTGCCTCTCAGATACAACTTTCAAAATGTTTCTCGTTCTTATAGTTGATCTTTAATACGCATCTTAACGATTCAACAATTCATAGCTGCGATTACTCAACTCAGCCGTTAGTTATATTTAGAGACATTAATTGGAACTGCAAACCTCGATAGACACAATCGGCTATTAAAATCAGCCTCGTCAAAACATGAGTTACATGCGTGCCGCTAATTCTCATACGAAAAAGGAGACATTAGTTGAATGACTTTGCGTTAGAGATCATTCAACTTTTTATGGAAAATCCTTTGGAAACTTAATGAATCTGTAATTTTGTATAAGAATAATTTATTTTGTTTTAAATAAATCTTATTTTCAAATAGAATGTATGCACATTTGAAAAGAGATATATTTTGCTCATGTTAAATTTTTAAGAATGTATATAGATATTTATAGATTAGAATGTTCTATTTGGAATATTTTGTTATAATGATGAACTCTGTGATACAATATAAAGATTATTGCATTTGTGATTTATGATTATTAATTTGCTTCAAATTGCAGATTTAAAATTGGGACAAGGAAGAACATTATTATTTATAATTAAAACAAATAACTTCTTATTGCAAACGATACTTATTAAAGAATTATGTGACAACATTGATATCTTTCTTATTGAACATATGTTAAAACTTTCATATATATTATAAAAACTATATTACTATCGAAATTTTATTTTTCTTGGTGAGTCATTTTTATTTAAAGATAAAAATTATAGGTATTATATTAATATCATGTTATTATATCTTATTATTAAATAAGAAAAATGCAATTCATCGCATCTTGTGGTGCAGTAGGTTATTGTTTGTAATAGATAAAAGTATTGGAAGCGAATGTTGAACTTCTGAGAACTTTCAATCTGACTGATAAGATAGTGAATTAAGTCTTGGACAAGCGAATGGAACGAACATCCGCTAATTCTTTGACAATAGGAATACAAAGATGTATATGTCACTGAAAACAAGGATCACATCTCGTAGATACTTCATGGACATCCTATAGAATACAATCATCTATCAAAATCAGCTTAGAAAATCTTAAAACGACTTTGAAGGAATTATTTGAAAAAGATTCTTTTGCATGAAAAAGACATGAATCTAAATTTTGATCTGTAAGTATACTTATTTTTAAATTTGAGAAAAATTGGAAAATTATTATAATTTTTAAAAATTAAAAATAACATTCTTATCTCATCGAAATTCTTAAAAATTTTTAATCGTTTTTTAATTTTCAAAATTTAATCAAACCATTTGATTTTAGGTAAAACCGAACCTCAATTCTGATTCTTATAATTTACATATCTATCGATTACCAAAAAATTATAATCTCTTTTATTAAAAACTCCCCAAACGAAAAAGTCTATGGATGATCCAATCACGATAATACGTGATAACAAATGAACAATTATTCTGTTTCACGCAAACCTATACTGCCAAAGAGGAAACTCGTCTGACTAATCATCGTGGAAACAATCGTTAAAAGAGAAATTACCATGTAAATATTCCAAGTGACTCATAAGCATTCCTCGAGCGTGCCATGTTTCACCGTTTCCTCCACCTCCGTCTATGAAATACCAAAGGGATTTCGCAGGTTAACGAGATCATGATAATCTGCACAGCGGAATCGAATACACTGACCTGAAAATTATCGATGGATCGTGCATGGAAACATGAATACGTGCGAATACGAAGAAATTCTCGGTAGGAGGAAAGAGAAAAAAGAAGGGATCCAAGAAAGGCACGGCAGAGTACAGGTGCCGCGCCCTGTTGAACCTCTAGTTCGACTTCTCACAGTCGATTATGTATTCATGAGTGTTTGAGAAGAAAGAAAAAGGAAAAGAAACAGTAGACATAGTTAGTCTCGTTCGATGCAAAGAAGATTCCTTTTTAGGCAAAGATGTAGATAAAAGATACACGACATCGTTGGAAGTTTGCACTAAGAGATGCAACACGGATGAGAATAGAATTGTTCTAATCTTTCTAATCTAAAAAATTAAAAAATTAATAACATAACGGAAAAGTCTTAAAATACAAAAAGATATTTTGAAAAAAATATCCATTCATTGTAAAAAGAATTCATTTATATCATTTATTAAGTTCATTAAATAATTTTATATCTTCTATTTCTTTTTTTTTTTTTTTTAATTTAGAATTATTAAATTTTTTTTATTCTTTGTTTCATGAGATTTACGTATTATAAGAAATCCACATTATGACTGGACAAGCATTGTTCAAGTAATATTCTCACGACTCGAGTGTATTCTCATGATAGCTATATACCGGATAAATATAATCCGCGTCAAGACACTCGTCTAGCCTGTCCTATTCTAGCCTAGCTCAGGCATCCGCGGATTACAAGAGACTTCCGGTCTACTCTTTCTGATGGTCATTGTTGCACCGGGCAGAGAGTGTGACGACCTCGACAGCCTCGATCCGCTTTTTCGAAACCATCTTCCCTTCTCTCTGTAAGATGGATCTTTCTATTGCCATGGAATTACTCTTTTCGAAATTCGATTTAAAAATACGAACGATGACGCGAAGTCATCGAGATATCGAGAATTTTCCAATCTTTTTTAAATTGCGATCTCCTTTTGCAATAATAAACTTGCAACTATATAAGATAAGGAATTTAAAAAAAAATTGTATTACTAGGAAATAATAGATTAATTAATGAGAGAATTATTTTGATATTATTGTAGAGTATGGTAATATAATTATGTTATATTTACTACATTATATTGTAATTATACTACAATAAGATACTACAATAAATAAAAAAATTAAAATATATAAATGGGAGATTTATTTTACAAATAATGAATAATTTAATTTTTCATTAGGAACGTCTGTTGATAGGCAATTGGTTGAGCATCAGCGCTTGCTTATTAAATTTGGCCATCTGATAAGATCTAATCATATTCAGATATCACGATGAAGAATTTACACATTACATTATATTATGTGATAATTGGAATGAAAAGTATATTTAATATGAGAAGTTCTAAAGGAAACAATATTATAAGTAAAAAAAAAAAAAGAAACATGTGTTACATATATCTATTTAATTAAGAATTATTAGAACCATTAAGGAATTATGTGAAATAACTGAAGAAAATGATATTACTTATAGAAGAAAAAAGAAGAAAAAAGAAAAGAAAAAAAGATTAAAAAACAAAATGAAATAGAAAAAATAATGTATTCATAAAATTTTTTTAATTTTTAATCCAAAAAAGAAGAATTCATTCGAAATTCTATAATTTTTAATCTTTACTAGACCAATGTTTAATCTTTATTAACTTCAACGTCTGAGAATTCTAAAAGAATTCTAAATATATCATTCTATAATAAATAAAATATAAAAAAATATATAAAAAATATAAAAATAAATATATGAAAAAAAATCTGGAAAGACTAATTTACGTGACTGAAAAAAAATTCTCTATTTTTCCATTATTCATATTTTTCTAGGGACCAATCTTTTTTTTTTTTTTTCGTTTTCGTCATCCTAAAGTCTATCATCAGTAGTAATTTTCGAGTTCTTTCGACCGAGAATAAGAGGAATTTTGGTCGTTAATGCTTTGTTACAAAATATCGTATTCCATTGTCTTTGTTCTGTATAAACAGGGATAATCTGAGAAACTAATATGAAGAAAGATGTTTTTGCTTTATCGTTGCAAAGTATACTTGTATCTTTCTTACACTTATATTGTGAAATTTTGTAAAAGATTTCTCGATATTTTTATGCATCGTTAACAAACGCACGAAACGAAATTTTATTATAAGAAACAGGCATACACAGGAAGAAGTAATGAATTTTGTGAATATTTATTAAATAAATTAAATAATTTTCGATGATTTAATAATTAATTCTGCATTTAAAAATAAAAAGCAAAATATTACATTATTCATTAACGTTACGTTAATTGGTGGTTTTTAAAACTTTTGCACGATTATATACATAATATACATAAATGGACAAGTTTCTCGTAAACTTGCTCTAATCTAATCAATCCTTTTGCGACCCACGTTTGAAATATGTATGCTCCGTTACTCGTACGTAAAAAAAGAAGACCTTTAACGGTCCTAATTTTACTTACTCACTGTACCATTTATTATAACATCTATCCAGTTACGGGTCATGATTTTGGTCTGCTGGGGGTCTCGGATAGTTATTAAGGTTTCACGTGGAGTCACTTTACCGTGACATCCAATTTCTGTCATGTTACGAATGCAGAAAGTAAATCGACAAATTATTTTCTCATATTGTCTTATGAAAAAAAAAAAAAAACCTCACATATCTATATATCTTTCTAGATAATTTTAAATTAGAATTACTCTCATTTAAAATGTATGAATATATAAATATTTTTTAATAATTAATTATCGATGGCATTTTTTTTCTGATTCCTTTATTTTAAAAAGAAATTATTAAATTTTACGAACCATTACGAAATATATTCGTATTATATTTTGATGCATAATTGTTTCAAGATGCTCTCATAGAATTTCCTTATTTTTTTTAATTTGAATTTAATTTTTTTTTTTTAATTTAATAAACGCCAATAAAACTCGATTGTAATTGCGAATTAAGTAATAATTGAGCAATAATCGAGAAGAAATTGGAAGAAATATAATCTTTTCAATGAATATCATGTATGAAAGTATCACGCATTCAAAAATTGTCAAAGGAAGATTGCAAGTACGCGCCACTTATGTTCGTAATGCATCCCGTGCGTAAGTTCGCATGCATACATGCTTGTGCATTGTCCAGAATCGTGAGCCATGAAAACCAGTCTCTCACCATAGCTCGTGCCGAACTTTCAGTGTTCGTGTTGCGTGTACATGTGTCATTAATGTGGAAACACGAAATAAACACGGATACCTGAACAGGAAGGATCATGCAACTGGGACAAATCATTCTTTTTTTCTATTTCTCCAAGTAATCACACTAACAGTATATTCTTTTCATGCGAATCCATTTTGCTTTCCAAACTAATAGAAATCGATTATCTATATTATTCAGACATCTATCATTCGGAAATTTTTGGAAATTTTCAAATTGGGTTAATTTTTGATATTTCCTAATTTTTCCTTTTCTGAATTTAATATATATTCGTATTTCTTACAAGAAGTTCTCACGTGTATTTCTAAATATACAAATTTGCATTGTTCACGAATAAAAAAAGAATTACAGACAAACAATAATACTCAGTTAAGTAATTTACGGATAAGAGGTTGAACCCTCTTATAAGAAATTATTCAAGGTAAAATAAAGATATTTGCGTGTTCCATAAGAATGGACTAGCTCGCAAAAAACTCCTCCAAAGAATTCCTCGATAGAAATTGCAAGCTGCTGCGAAAGCGGCTTCTACTTTGTCGGAACTCGAACGATAAAAAAGGGAAGAAAAGAAGAAAGGAAGGAAGGAAGAGGAAGAAGAAACTTTACCTGGCTTTCAATAATAAAGGGCGCGTGTACGATATGTAATGGATGTAAAAGGAGTAAAAAAAATTCCACGATAATTCTCGATGGAATGAAACATCTGCCCTCAACTTCCACCACCTACTTCCGAATCCTTCGCCATTCTTGCGCACCCTCGTCACCACACCGTGGACATTCAATCCTTCCGATGGACGAAAGGAGAAAGGTATGCGTAACGAAGGCGCGTGACACGAGAACCAGAAGGCACCTGGCCAACTATGTCCCTCTTAATCAAAGGGATATTTTGTTCGTGATCATTATGCGTGAATAAAACACGCGACAATTCTGAGCATGGATTGCTCTGAAGAATCTTTGTTTCCTCGCTTTTCTTTTCTTTTCTTTTTTTCTCGTAAGATTATTTAAAATTGTATTAATCATAGTTTCATGATTGTGCAATTTTAATTATCTTAAATTAGTTACTATTTTTTTTATTTTCCATTGAGAAAATTAATATTTACCATTAATTAACAGTTGTTAGTAATCTAGGAGGAGGGAAAGAAAAAGAGAAATCATAGAAACGAATAGAGATTGAATTTGATAAAGTATTGTCACTATAATCTTTTTCAAAAATCTTTTCATCTTTTAATTTCTCCTCGTGAATTTTCATGTTTTTCAAATAATCAGTGATCTTTTTAAATGTAATAACCACATTGTTTCGAATTACAAAGCGACACTCGAAACTTCTATGGGGTAATGTACAACCCTCGAAACCTGGTTATTATAATGGCACCACTGTTGATGCATGCGGTTCTTTTTTTAAGCAAAGGTTTCTATCGATTCGTTGAGGGGTTGGTTCCGGCTCTCGATAGGGTGATTTACAGAATTCTCATGGTACGAATCGAAGGCATTAAAAAAATTCAGAAGGTACTGAAGTTCAAGCTACTCGAATATTTAATTGATTCTACTAAGATAAATATGTCTCGTGTCTATATTTTCTATATTCTTATACTTTTAAAATATATCTTTCTATGTTTCTTTGGAACTGCAACTTTATATCTCCCTTGACCAATCAATTATTCGAAGTTGATCAAATTTTCAAGAAGAAAGGGGAAGAGAACGAGAAAGAAGAATTTTACTTTATTAATGAAGCTTCTAACACTAAAATATTTATTTAATCTTCCAACTAGCTATCACAAAACTATCTCCGTTCATCAAACATTTCAAAGTATAATTTAATTTTATAGAATTCTTTCTATAACGCTTCAATATTATTTTAAAATAATATTATATCGCGTTATTTCAATATTATTATATCTTTGTTTGATATAACAATACATAAATCATTCTATAAAATTAATAATTGTATATTTATATGTATTGCAAAGTAGTAAAAAATAGATTCTCATCCAGTATTCCAGTCTCATCCAGTCTAAATTCTAGCCGCGGAAGAGGAAACAAGAAACTCGGGATCTCAATCCTCGAAAGGGTGGCGTCCCACGACAAATCGATTTCTTCACTGCGGATAAAAAACACGGCTAACTCGAGAGGATCGTTGCGGTCAGTCAGAGGAATGTCTGCGAGCGAATATCTCCGGTTCCTCCACATCTCTCGTTATTTTCCGAATGATCGAACATTTGCCCGGCAAAACGGAACGGATCACGGAACGAACTGTGGGAAACGGTGTAGCGGGCTTCGTATCCGACGCGAAATATCGAAGCCATTGAAGAGACAAAGGGAACCAAAGCCGTGCAGCGAACAATGAGCCGATCTTTGGAAATCGAGAGGTGGTTTCGAACCAGTTATTTTACAATAACGTGTCGTTTTTTTTTGTTCTCTTTTATTCGGGATCGGATCTGGCATATGACTCCACCAGGATTAAAGTCAATCCT